CTGTGCGGGACCATTCGCAATGCCTCTCGAAAACAGCACCTAGACGCGGCTCGAAAAGTAAATCCGTCTGTACTTCTTCAAGAGAGCGTTGTCCCCTTTCCTTGAAGAACAAGACCACACAGACACACTTTTGCTCCACGCCCCCGTAGTAGTGCCAGAATTGAAGACGATATCAAAGAACTTTTGATGGACTTCAAGTACCGGTTTTCCACTAAAACACGTGTCATGTTATTGATGGTGGTATGTCTTTCCTGGTGTAGTGGTGTTGGGATTAGTGTTGACGGGATTTAGTGCTCGTAACTGAGGGAGGGCGGGAGATACTTTTCAAACTAGGTAAGACGCATCATTTTATTTTATTACACGGTTCTTATGTAATTAGTTTTTAACATCTTTCATCACTTAAAATGTATATCAGTTGTAGTTTAAACAAAGTTATTTTGCTAAAGTTAACAACATTAGGAAAATTCGCTTCACAATTTCCCAAACGAATTAAAAGGAACATGAGGCTATTAGAAGTCAGAGCACTGAAATGCAAACTTTCCGTGCAATTCAACTTTAAACAGATTAAATGCGTTTAACATGTAGGCAGAGTAGAGATGGCACTTTATAGTGGAATATTGCATACCTACTTACTCCACGCCACTGTCTGTTCGTATTTTATAACGTGCTTCAAATATAACTCAAAATATGTACTACTTTTTATAGTCATAAGGGTGACAAACGAGCACAAAGTCCATCTAATGGTAAGTAAATGCTGTGACCCATACACATCTACATCCATCCTCGATTAAAATCAAAAGGCAGATGTGTTGTAACTCCTGAGGACTACGATGGAATGCCTCGTTTCCAGTAAACTTAGGGACCTTCAAGAAAAGAGCCTACTCCTTTATAAAAGGCCGGCAACGCGCTACATATACCCTGAGCACCGCTTTGCAATGCTGTGTCACTGCACTACGGAGCCATGCCATTTTACCCAGATACGAGGGCGGCACTGAAATTTTCGGGAATCAAGGAAGTGACACAACATTACTATTTAAAAATGTATTTATTGCTTTTTGAAGTATTCTCCGCGAAATTTGACACATTTTTCCATACGATGGAACCATTTATTGAAGCAACCATTCCATTCGGAAGTTGGGTTCTCCAAAATGGCCGTTTTGTAGGCGTCCACAGATTCTTCAGGTGATGAAAATCTCTGTCCATGCAATTTATTCTTTATTTTAGGGAAAGTATAGAAATCATTAGGGCTTAGGTCGGGGCTGTACGGCGGATGGTCTAATAGTTCTATGTTTTCTTGCTCTAAAAACTCTTTTGTTCTGTGTGCGGCGTGAGAACTCGCATTGTCGTGATGGAGGATGATGCGGCGGTTGCAGTTCTCTTTACGGAGTTCAGAAACGATCTGTGGCAAACAAATGTAGCATTCCATTCTGTATTAACCGTTCTTTGTCCCTCAAGAGGAATAGTCGTAACATGGCCGGTTTTGGAGACAAACGTGGCCACCATTTTTTTTGCAACACTCCGTGAACGAACAATTTTTGTTGGCTTTAACTCATTTTCGAACACCCAAACTCGTGACTGGTTTTTTTGTTTCGGGTTCATACGCATATATCCAGGATTCGTCACCGGATACGATGTTGTATACAGCATTTGAGGATCCTGCGTGGAATCTTTCGAGAGTTCTGACGCACCAAGTAACGCGAGCCGCTTTTTGCTCTTCACAGAACGAGAGAGATGCGGTATCCAGCGGGAAAACAACTTTTTTACACCTAATTGTTCATGCAAGATTATTTGTATTTGACTTTTGCCAATGTCTAAAATTGCCTGAATTTCGCGGTATGTCACATGTCGATCTTCCTCAATCAGCTTACGCACAGCATCAACGTTTTCTTGGGTGACTGCAGTTTTTGGACGACCTTGACGGGGATCATCACTGAGCTTGACACGTCCACGTTGAAATTCAGCGAACCAGCGATAAATTGTGGTTTTGGATAGGGCTTCATCACTAAATGCAGAAATCATCCGGTCAACACACTGTTTTTGTGTTAAACCACTTCGAAAGTCATAATAAATCATCGCTCTTGAATTTTCTCGAGTCAATTCCATTTTCTCAACGACTAAACAAGTTTGACAAAACCTTGTGACAAGACCGATAATCTTTTTTTAAATAAATAAATGGTATTCGATTTTTAAAACCAAGGACTTTTCAATTAAAAACATTTAATATGACAGGAACAGTGGAAATATTCTATTCCCGATACTTTTAGTGCAGCCCTCGTATTCTGTGAGATAATGGTCCTTTTCGGTCGAGCCGACCAATACGTGCAACAGTCATAATATACGGTTACGTTAATATGTGACGACTTTACTGATCCATACTTACTTTAAAAACTGGCCAAGTGCGAGGCGGACTCGCGGATGAAGGGTTCTGTACAAACATAATACACGTTTCTAGTCGCCCTTTTTAATTTGTATTTATTTTTATTATTTTTTTGTAACAGCGGCAGCAGAAATACACATTATGTGAAAATTTCAACTATCTACCTATTAGGGATCATGAAATACAGCCTCCTGAGAGAAAGACGGACAGACGGATGGACTGACGGATGGACGAACAGCGGAGGCTTCATAATCGCGTCCCATTGGTTACTCTTAGGATACGGAACCCTAAAAATGACAGAAGTCTGTGTGCCCTCCGAGAACTTACTTGGCAGTAATTTTACTGCTCTTTAAGTAAAAAATTGACAAATTAGCGACGGTGTAAGAATGTCCACTAACCTACATCGTCCCTTGGGTCTCGTAAGAGGTGACAGAAGGAAACTGAAACAGGAGATGGGCATCCTTGTGACAACTCAAAATTACAAAAAGCGGCTACCCAACCTGCCTGTGGCAGTTATGGAAAAATCTCCCATAGGAAATAATCTATGGGGGAGGTCTATATTCAGGAGTGGGCTTTTATAGATTGTAATAGATAAATGAATAGAAGTAAAAATACTTACATGTTTTATCATATTCATCAATATCAATAATCATCATCATCATCATCATCATCATTAGAGCCATGCTGCAGCTATATTACTAGTATAATTTTAGCACGAATGGGTCAGCTCGACTTGGGAAGGACCACGCTCTCATGGAATACCAGCATAAAATTGCAGCTTAATGCTGTTGTGTTTCGTATGGTGAGTGTAGAGAACCGGATACCTATTTTACCGGAAACGAGGCATTCCATCTTAGTCCTCACGGGTGACATCGTATCTGCATTTTGATTTGTAGTCGAAATTCGTAGTAGATGTTTATGGGCCACAACAACCACTTACCTATAATAAAAAATTTAAAGAAATATCCAAATTAGAGAAATAAATATATCCTTTACTACACCGCTTACTTAACTTTTTCGGCTTTGTTACTTTTAAATTCTGTTACTAGGGTAGATTTATGTACAGTATGTAAAAAATGATTTCCACGTTGTAGATCGTTGCAGATTTATATCGTCACGCCTTACGTTCATGAGAACAAATGGCATATTTGGGATTAATAAGGAAAATGATTTTACGCGGTAGGAAAACAAAATGGGACAAGATAAGGAAAAGTTAATAAATAACAAATAATGATGCCACGTCCTAGGATTTGTATAATTTAATACATTTTGTATATTCATGATTATATTCAAAACAACACATCGTCTTTAGTCTTCAAGAAACTTACTTACTGATACTAACACTAGTTTCAAAGAGCTACGAATTGTTAGGAGTGAAAATTGAGATCATAATTGACTAGAAATGTCACATAATTTGTGTAAAATAATATGATTTTAAGTTTCAAGGTCTTTACCATAATCATTTAATTTGTTCACCAAACAGAAGGTGGGTGATGTTATACTTTTGGTATATGCTTTAGTAGTTCACCGTGATGAACAAGTTTTTAAGAAGTGTTTGGTTAAGACACCAAATGTCTTAACATTATCATCGAAGGATCATATTTTATATTCAAATTACGAAAACTCTCAATCCAAAAACGTCAGAATAAATAATTTTTAAATTCAAATTAGTTAAATTATCTTTTGATTTTTTTTCTCTATATAACTAGTAATAAAAATTTGAAAACATCATGCGTTATTTTATTTCGTTCTCCATTGTCAAAATCGTAACTCTATGAATAAAATAGATAAGTTGTTTCAACTTTCAACTTTCATTAACGACTATACAAAAAACTACAACACATTAACAGTAATATACAAAAGTAACATTATTTTATTTAATGCCGTAATACATTTAATAGCTGAAATGACAAGGCCTATCATTATCAATAAGACTTAATATGACGATAGAATAGTTGAATCAGATCATAAAATACTTTTTTTTTGTTCTATACAATATATTATATCTTCGCAAGGTTTAACATTTGGCAAACGTTAGATGAAATAGAAACCAGTCAGTTAGGATCTTAAACATAAATTATTAAAACTAAAATCAAGAATGGACTCTCACGTGAAATTTATCACAATTTTTAATATTGATGTTATATTTTTAGAATATAAAAATATAAAGTTAGTATAACAATGTTTTAAAACAGTAGATATAATTTTTATTACTTTTAAAATTTTAAATAAATTTGTTTCGTTGTTAATACTGGCTAGTAAATCACAACAAAATCGATTTATTACACCAGGAATATTTTAAATGCGAATAAAAATCATTAATTACAAAAGTAGTTTGAAAAAGGAACAAATAAATTATGTGTTATGGAATCTGACCAAAACATCCGATAGAAAGGTGTAATATTTTCATAGTTAAGAGGTAAAAAACGTTATATTTGGTTTTAATTAATACAATTGGAAATAAATATTTTAAATTGGTTAAATAGAAAAGACATTTTTAGTCAGTTTTATATAAAGATGTCTTAATTTTAAGTTTTATGACTGTAAGACTATATTATTATTTTAATTTTGTAAACATCTAAATCCCACGTGAGTTCCATCCGAAATGAATGCGCGGTGTAATTTATTCATCCATGTAATTTTCGCTGTCGTTCATATCGCTGGATCGCTTGCCAAGGCCAAAGCTGAATCGGTGCATGTCTCGTTCCCTTTTCCCTAGTCCAAAATTGAATTTGCTGAGGCGTTTGCCAAGACCGAAATTGTAGCTTCTAGCTCGTTTGCCAAGACCGAAATCGTAGAGATATGGTCTCTTGCCTAATCCGAAGTCGTAAATTCTGGCTCGTTTCTCTTCATTCTCCTCCGAATCTTCGGCGAGACGTTTACCGAGTCCAAAACTGTATGGTCGTGCACGCTTGATCTCATAAACTGAAACAATTAGAGATTATTTAAAGTTAATCATTGAAATTATTCTTATACCATAAAAAATTTAAACACGTTATCAGTACTTTCTTTAAGTTACTCTCTGATAAATGTATTATAAAGAAAATTCTTTATTACTTTTCCTTTCTCTAGAGTTCTTTTTAGTTAAAAAAGTAGAACTTGAATTATTTTAGAAAAGTATTTGAATGTCAAATAGTTCAGAGTAATTAATGATTTATATGTCTCCCATGAAACAAATCAGGAGACAAGCAGCAGCACCTTCGTAATAACGACTAAAAATAAAAAATAAAACTGCGGTTGCCAACCTGCTTGCCAAGCATACTGTGCAAAATATTCCTCCCCCTGTGAGGGAGTCTATGGGGGAGGCCTATGCATTGGATTTTAATAAACTGTAATGGATGGATGTACAGAAGATAATCTACCAGGAGCACATGACGCAATGAGAGGTGAAATATTCAAATCAACAGTAACATTACAACTATGTACAAACATCTCCCCTATGAGGCAATCTATGGGGGAGACCTATGTTCAGCAGTGGACTTTAATAAACTGTAATGGATGGATGTGTATAAGATAATCTACCAGGAGCACATGACGCACTGAAAGGTGAAATTTTCAAATTAACAGTAACATTACAACTATGTACAAATATATCCTCCTATGAGGCAATCTATGGGGTAGGCCTATGTTCAGCAGTGGACTTTAATAAACTGTAATGGATGGATGTGTAGAAGATAATCTACCAGGGGCATATGACGCACTGAGAGGTGAAATTTTCAAATTAACAGTAACATTACAACTATGTACAAATATATCCCTCTATGAGGCAATCTATGGGGAGGCCTATATTCAGCAGTGGACTTTAATAAACTGTAATGGATGGATGTGTAGAAGATAATCTACCAGGAGCACATGACGCACTAAGAGGTGAAATTTTCAAATAAACAGTAACATTACAACTGTGTTCAAATATCCCCCTATCAATGGACTTAAATAGGCTGTAACGGTAACGGTATCGGTAAACGTAGAGAAAGTTTTAACATAAGATTCTTTTGTCTCCAACATTGTGTGATAGGTGTTTCTATGCCATCGATCACTGATAAAAAAACTAGATACACAATCAGTGACAAAAAATATCCTTACCCAATGTGCGCCCACTCGTACATTTGGGTGCGCTTTTAATTTGTAAGTAGCTTTATGAATACAACTTTAGGTAATGCATTAAAGGTTGAATTTACATTAATGTATATTTATTTCAACTAGAATGACGTCAAAACAATAGGCGACAGTTTTTAGAGAACTTTTGCATGGGATTATATATCTAGTTTTTTATTAGTGATTGATGTTCTATGTGTACTAATTTGACTTTATGTAACACAAATAAATCTAATATCACTGTATTTACAAAACACAAACTTTGTAACATTCATCATCATCATCATTACAGCCCTTCACAAGTCCACTGCTGAACATAGGCCTCCCCCAAAGAATGCCACAAAGCACGGTCCTGAGCCACCTGCATCCATCGACTTCCTGCATATCTTACCAGGTCGTCACTCCATCTAGTGGTGGGACGCCCTACACTTCGCCTGCCGGTACGAGGCTGCCACTCGAGAACCTTTCTTCCCCATCGGTTGTCGGTTCTTCGAGCTATATGGCCGGCCCATTGCCACTTCAGCTTACTAATCCGTTGGGCTATGTCGGTCACTCTAGTTCTACTGCGGATATCCCCATTTCTGAGTTTATCACGCAGGGAAACTCCGAGCATAGCCCTCTCCATAGCTCGCTGAGCGACCTTGAGCTTCCTCATCCGGCCAGCAGTGAAGGACCACGTCTCAGTTCCGTATGTCATCACTGGCAACACGCACTGGGTGTACAGTCTCGTTTTCAAGTTTTGAGATATACCTGACGAGAAGATGTGTCGTAGCTTCCCGAACGCTGCCCAGCCGAGTTGAATCCGTCGATTGACCTCTCGGTCGAAGTTGGACTTACCTAGTCGGACTATTTGTCCCAGGTAAACATACTCGTCAACAACTTCGAGCTTAGTGTTCCCAACAACTACCGGCATAGGTGTGACATGGACATTAAACATGATCTTTGTTTTGTCCATGTTCATCTTAAGACCTATCCGTTGGGAAACACTATTGAGGTCATTGAGCATAGTGCTTAGGTCCTCCAGCAATTCTGCCATAAGGACTATATCGTCGGCAAATCGAAGGTGAGTGATGTACTCGCCATTGATGTTTATACCGTATCCTTTCCAGTCCAGAAGCTTGAAAACGTCTTCCAATGCAGCGGTAAAGAGTTTCGGGGATATGACGTCACCCTGTCTTACACCTCTCTGCAATTGGATAGGTTTCGTACTCTGGTTCTGTACTCGGATAGCCATCGTAGCCCTACTGTACAAGCACTTCAACACTTCGATATCATCATCATCATCATCATTACAGCCCTTCACAAGTCCACTGCTGAACATAGGCCTCCCCCAAAGAATGCCACAAAGCACGGTCCCGAGCCACCTGCATCCATCGACTTCCTGCAAATCTTACCAGGTCGTCACTCCATCTAGTGGGGGGACGCCCTACACTTCGCCTGCCGGTACGAGGCTGCCACTCGAGAACCTTTCTTCCCCATCGGTTGTCGGTTCTTCGAGCTATATGGCCGGCCCATTGCCACTTCAGCTTACTAATCCGTTGGGCTATGTCGGTCACTCTGGTTCTACTGCGGATATCCTCATTTCTGAGTTTATCACGCAGAGAAACTCCGAGCATAGCCCTCTCCATAGCTCGCTGAGCGACCTTGAGCTTCCTCATCCGGCCAGCAGTGAAGGACCACGTCTCAGTTCCGTATGTCATCACTGGCAACACGCACTGGGTGTACAGTCTCGTTTTCAAGTTTTGAGGTATACCTGACGAGAAGATGTGCCGTAATTTCCCGAACGCTGCCCAACCGAGTTGAATCCGTCGATTGACCTCTCGGTCGAAGTTGGACTTACCTAGTCGGACTATTTGTCCCAGGTAAACATACTCGTCAACAACTTCGAGCTTAGTGTTCCCAACAACTACCGGCATAGGTGTGACATGGACATTAAACATGATCTTTGTTTTGTCCATGTTCATCTTAAGACCTATCCGTTGGGAAACACTATTGAGGTCATTGAGCATAGTGCTTAGGTCCTCCAGCGATTCTGCCATAAGGACTATATCGTCGGCAAATCGAAGGTGAGTGATGTACTCGCCATTGATGTTGATACCGTATCCTTTCCAGTCCAGAAGCTTGAAAACATCTTCCAATGCAGCGGTGAAGAGTTTCGGGGATATGACGTCACCCTGTCTTACACCTCTCTGCAATTGGATAGGTTTCGTACTCTGGTTCTGTACTCGGATAGCCATCGTAGCCCTACTGTACAAGCACTTCAACACTTCGATATACCGACAGTCAACTTGGCATCGCTGAAGGGACTGCAGCACCGCCCAAATTTCGACGGAATCAAAGGCTTTCTCATAGTCCACATACGCCAGACATAGTGGCAAATTGTACTCCTCGGACTTCTGTACAATTTGCCGAAGGGTATGTATGTGGTCTAAGGTGCTAAAGCCTTTTCGGAAACCGGCTTGTTCGGGAGGCTGGAAGTCGTCAAGTCTGCGCGCGAGACGATTCGTAATGACTCTCGAAAACAGCACGTAGACGCGGCTCAGAAGGGAAATCGGTCTGTAGTTCTTCAAGAGAGCGTTGTCGCCTTTCTTGAAGAACAAGACCACCGCACTTCTGCTCCACGCCTCCGGTGTAATGCCACCATGGAGGACGGAATTAAAGAGCTTCTGAAGGACTTCAAGTACCGGTTTTCCACCCGCTTTCAGAAGCTCCGCTGTAATTCCATCCTGGCCTGGGGCCTTGCCGTTTTTAAGGTGCTGGAGAGCCATTCTAATCTCGCTCAGACTGACGTCCGGGATATCATCGGAATAATGTCGGATAAGACTCGCTCTTGGATCGTTACTCACACTTGCGTGTGGCTCCAACGATGACGTGTACAGCTGCCCATAGAACCTCTCAATCTCACTCAAAATCTCAGGTGCCCCGGAAACGATGCTGCCACATTCGGTCTTCAGCTTTGACAGTTGGCTCTTTCTGGCAGACAGATCTCTGGCAAAGACTTTGGAGCCTTGGTTCCGCTCGATCGCTTCTTCAATACGAGCTGTATTGAAGTTGCGCAAGTCCCGCCGCATGCATTTGGAGATCCGTCTGTTCAGTTGCCTGTATGCTGTCAAATCTGTTGAAGAATGTAGCTTCATCTCCCGTCTAACAGCCATGAGATTAAGAGTGTGATCGGAGAGTTTTTGTGTTCTTCTGCGGCGGGTCTTGCAGAACTTAGCTCCGACCGCATGGACAGTTTCCACGAGCTTGTCATTCAAATCGTCCACTTCATTGCAGTCTTCTAGGCACTGAAAACGGTTTTGCAACTCGAGCTGAAAGGTTTCGGGACTTTGGATTAGAGCACGATACTTCGATATACCGACAGTCAACTTGGCATCGCTGAAGGGACTGCAGCACCGCCCAAATTTCGACGGAATCAAAGGCTTTCTCATAGTCCACATACGCCAGACATAGTGGCAAATTGTACTCCTCGGACTTCTGTACAATTTGCCGAAGGGTATGTATGTGGTCTATGGTGCTAAAGCCTTTTCGGAAACCGGCTTGTTCGGGAGCTGGAAGTCGTCAAGTCTGCGCGCGAGACGATTCGTAATGACTCTCGAAAACAGCACGTAGACGCGGCTCAGAAGGGATATCGGTCTGTAGTTCTTCAAGAGAGCGTTGTTGCATTGTAACATTAGTATAATATAAATATTGGCAACCTTTGTTCTATTACGTTAATAGCCATGCGTTAGTAGAACAGAAGAATCCAATTTTACTTCACCTCGTATTTATCATAAAGACCATCGAGGAAATGTTACAATTTTTAGCATCCCACATTTAAAAATTAGCTGGAAAAGTAACTGCACTTCAGTCAACGTATAAGTCTGGTATCAGTTTTTTTCTTTAAACTTTCTCCTGTAGCGTAGAAAGAGTTTACAAATATAAATTGCACAAGGTCAAAACATTCAGACTCGGAACAATTATTTGTAAGCCATACGAATACTTGTTACGTATGGGATTCGAACCCGCGGTCCCCAGCGCTTCAACTCATTGCTCAGGCCGTCAAAGGAGCTGCAGTCTGCTAAGCGTGTTCATTTTCCAACTTGAAAGAGAACTGCACCAGCGCTCTTTCAAGTTGCAGCGTCGACTGAATAATGCTGAAGATGAATTTACAATTATATATTCTGAGTTCTGACGCTCTTATTATACTTATGTATTAAAATAGACATAATAAACATACCTGCGGCATCGTCATATTGGTCAAAGAGTTCGGGCATGTTTGCCTGGTTTACGTCACTCATGAAATCATCGCTGGATTGGTCATCGTCGACGGACCTCTTGCCTAAACCAAATGAATAGAGCTGCGACCTACAAGGTCAGTGAAAATATTATAAGAACATTAATTCTATATTTATTTATTATCTAAGAACTTTTGTAGTAGTTGGTAGGATTCCTTTTCTTTCTAGTACGTCCTGATAGGTACCAGTCTCTTACGTATTTCTACTGTCAAATAAAAGTGCTTGCATTGTTGCCGTGTTCCATTCTGAGCAGTACAGAGAGCAAGTATAATACCAGGCTGTGAGGCGTTCAATCTTTGTCCTCAGGGGTGACAAAGAATCTGTAGCTTTCTTTGTATGAAGATGGCTGCAGGTATCCATGAACAGCAGTAGTCAATTTTCATCAAGTGGACTGCAAGTTCGTTTGACACCTTAGTTTTATAAAAAAAAATATTTACAATTTTTGTCATGATCCTAACTTATGCCCGTATTAATAAATGTTACTCAACGACGAACTCAAGTGCGTAATCATTTGATACGCCCTCATTACGATGTCAGAATCTCAAGATCGTTGCTAATTAAAGCCTGAATTCCTCCTACGCTGACGTCGGTCGCGTACGTCGGTCGCGCGTACTAATGTACCATGTGTTCTATATAGCCCCACACTACGACGCTGACGACAGCGGCACGTAGTTTGCTACGTACGCGTACGCGACCAACCGTACGCAACCGACGTCAGCGTAGAAGGAATTTAGGCCTAATAAACACATAAAAACAGTATCTCAAAACGCTGTACTTTGGAATACTGTTGTGACTTGCAATCAAGTACACATACTTCAGAGTCGAGTTTCGTTTATTAATCATTGTGGCACTCAGCTGATATCGTAAGCATAAACGGCATCTTGAGATATGATTATTAAAAAACATAAACATAACATAAGCACTCACGCCTGTCACCCAGAGGGGTAGGCAGAGATTATGGACTTCCATTTGGCACGATCCTGACACACCTCTTTCGCTTCCTCCACATCCATATACCTACGCATACACGCTCGTCGGTTAAAGGTACTCTTGATATGGCCCATTTTTAATATATCGCCAATTTGGTCGATAAACTTTCGCCTAGGGCGACCCTTCCCGACTATGCCGTTCACCTCTGCAACATAAATTTGCTTTGTCACTCTTTCCTCATTCATTCTTTTTACATGGCCAAACCACCGAAGCATTCCTTTCTTAATCCTGGTCACAACGTCATCTTGCAACCACACTCTTCTCTTATTAAACAATTTCTCACTCTGTAATTCAGCTTCATCCCTAACATACTCCTTAATGACCGCATTTCTACAGCATTTATTCTACTCTCATGCTTCTTCTGCCACACCCAACTTTCACTACCATACATTAAAGTAGGTACTAACACAGCATTGTGAATTGCCATACGTGCCTTTTTGGACACATTCTGACTTTTCACAATAGAGTGTAGAGCCCCATTCACTCTATTTCCTGCATTCACTCGTCGTTCTATATCCTTATCATATCTACCATCCCTGCTAAACACACATCCCAAATATACAAACTCATCTACTTGCTCTACCAACTCCCCTTCTATTCTTATTTCACATATCGTTTTACTTTCTTCTCTTTCAAAAACCATAACTTTCGTCTTACTTGCGTTCATTCCCTTTTCTTTTAATGTCCTGTTCATTAATGTAACCATCATTTGCAACTCGGCTGCCGACGACGCAAGTATGACTTGATCATCGGCGTACAAAAGGCATTTGACGGTTAACTCACCCATTCTTAACCCGCATTCTTCTACTTTCAAATTTTCCAAACAACTGTCCATAAATAGGTTGAACAACCACGGGGAAGCCACACAGCCCTGTCTGACACCTTTATGGATGTCAAACCAGTCCGAGTAGGCCCCGTTGATCCTGACACAAGCACTAGAGTCCCTATATAGAGACTTCAATGCCTGTATCAGACCAGCGCTCAACCTAAATGAGTTCAGTGTTTGCCATAACACATCCCTGTCCACTCTGTCATAAGCCTTCTCCAAGTCCATGAACGCACAAAAAACTTTTTGGTTTTTGGCCAAAAACTTCTCGGCGATCATGCGCATGGAAAAGACCTGATCCGTACATCCCATTCCCTTTTTAAATCCCGCTTGCACATCCCAAATTTTTCCATCAGTTTCTTTCATAACTCTTTCAATTAGTACCTTAGCATACAGTTTTCCCACAATGCTAAGAAGGCTGATACCACGGTAGTTTTTACAGTCCTGCTGTGATCCTTTTCCTTTATATATTGGGACTATCACGGCTTTGCACCAGTCTCCCGGTACCCGCTTAAGTTCCCAACATAAATTAAACAAGGTGTACAGCAGGTCTGCCACCACTCCTTCTCCAGCCCTTAGCATTTCGAGAGATACTCTATCATAACCGGCTGCCTTACCTGTTTATATGATTTTTAATAAGATCATTACCTCAAGATTGTACTCAAGTGCGTGTACTTGAGCTGAGTAACGTTTATTAATACGGGCCTTAAAATCTAATAACAACAACTGCCTTTTCAAAGGCCATTGTTAGGACTTGGAAGGATAGTTAAAAGGGTTGAAATTGGCAATGATTCTTCTTGTCCATCGATCTCCTGGATTTGATTTTTTAAATGGCTTTCCGCTGTCTGTCACCAGAGCCTCGTATTTTAATAAGCAGGATGCACCGTGGACAACCTACCTTTTGCCCAATCCAAAGTTGTAGACAGGGAGTCGTTTGTATTCTGATACGTAGCTGTAGGCCCGTTTTCCTAAACCGAAGTCGTAGCGTGGAGATCTCTTCTCAAGCGGGGCGGTGTGTTCAACTGGGGCATCGTGGAGGTCGTGGGTATCTTGAGCGGTACGGGTATCATCGCTCTGAATATTTTCTGGGGCGCAGACTGCGATCCCCATGAACAAAAAGCAGATAAGGACTGATGTGTACAGCATTCTGGAACAATAACACATGAATGTTATTTGATGTATTGTGACTTGAGGTAATTCGATCACAACCTATAAAGTCCAGTTCATGGTTTATAAAGACTTAGAGAATAGTAAGAAGCAGCATTTTCCTTTACTGAATGGCCACCGATGACTGCAGGTTATTGAGAATCGTGTTTTGTGACATTCCTTTTTTTTTCTTAATATAACTACGACCTGTAAGATCTATTGATATGGCTGCTATGGCTATAGTGCACTGCTAAACCATGTGTCTTCAATGAATAAAAGGAGTTACTTAGATTTTTTTTAGGTAAGGGTGACGAACGAGCTCACAGTCCACCTGATGGTAAGTGGTTGCTGTGGCCCATAGACATCTACATCTATCCTCGATTACAAATCAAAATGCAGATACATCGTCACCCGTGAGGACTAAGATGGGATGGTCGTTTCCAGTAAAAAGGGTCTCCGGTTCTCTACACTCACCATACGAAACCCAGCAGCGTTAATCTGCTATTTTACGCTGGTATTGTGTGAGAGCGTGGTCCTTCTCCAGTCGAGCCAACCCATTCGTGCTACAACTATACTACTAATATAGCTACGGCATGGCTCTACCACGTAAAAAAGATGTGAGCAATTTAATTTCTTCTGGGCTAAGTACATAGTTTCCCAGATGATTGTTTTTTCACATTAAGGGTTTTTTTTTAATAGGATAAGGGTGACAAACGAGCACACAGTCCACCTGATGGTAAGTGGTTGCTGCGGCCCATAGACATCTACATCTATCCTCGATTACAAATCAAAATGTAGATGCGTTGTCACCCGTGAGGACTAAGATGGAATGCCTCATTTCCAGTAAAAAGGGCCTCCGGCCACCTGCACTCACCAAGCGAAACGCAGAAGTAAACCTCTACTTCACGCTGGTTTTCTGTGAGGTCGTGGTACTACCCCGGTTCGAGCCGGCCCATCTGCGCGACAGCAAAAGCTGCCGCGTGGCTGTACCACTGTTAAAAAATGGGGTCAGGATGTGCAGAGGTGTTTTTTGGTAGAGGAACTATTAATAATGCAATAATTTTTACATCAAATTCTTCTGATGTCGGCGCTATAATACAAAGTATTTTATAGAAGAATCTAAGCCCGCACTTCCATCATTTCTAGTTTTTAGAGGTCGACTTATAGTTTTTATTAAAAGTTCTTTTACGCTGCTGCTGATTGGAAAAGGAATATTCCAAGCTTAATGTAACAACTTGAATATCATCCAAATTGTATTAAAAACTTCATCACCTATTTATCAACCCTTAATGATGGAATTTTCTCTCTAATTTTATATAGAACCATTCCTAAAGTGTTGAGTGTCGTGTAACATATATGCGATAAAAACAGAGTCGAATTAGGAACCTTCTACTGTTTTGATCTATGCCATCTATTTAAGCAATCAACAGGGAGCAACCAAAGTTCAGTGGTATATTTTATCAAATATAAAGACCACGCCGTGTAAACACTGCAGTTCGTTTTGATTTTTGTTTAAATATGATGAAATGAAATATGAAAAATGAAATACTGAAAATAATCCCCAGTTCGTTTATTGAAAAATAGTTTGTGATTTAACAAACTGGTTCACATGCGGAGTTTTCTGCCTTCCGCGACCTCACATAACAACCATTTAAATAGGTATATCGCTTAACGTAGAGTGAATAAGGCTCATTTTTCTAAGCCTATTTGATATTGTTCTCGTTTGCACGAAGTTGAAAGGAATGCAGGCCTAGTTTAAAATTCAATCGCATAGTTGTATAAACCGACACGTAGTATTCAAAGAACACACATTGTTTATGTAAAGTAAAATGATTGTATTTTTTTATAAAATACAATTGACAAACAAACACATAATCCACAGGATGGGAAGTGGATACAGTGGCTAATAACCTCCATCTATACTCGGTTAGGATTCAAAATTCAATTGCGTTGTCACCCCTGAGGACTAACATGGAATGCCTCAATTCCAGTAAAACTGTTCTCCGGTTCTCTACACTCACCATAAGGAACACAGCAGCGTAAAGCTGCTATTTTACGCTGGTATTCTGTGAGAGCGTGGTCCTTCCCCGGTCAAGCCGACCCATTCCTGCTACGACTATACCACTAATATAGCTGCAGCATGGCTCTACCACGTCAAAAACAGGCCAACGCCTTATGACACCTACAGGACAAAATGTGATGATAGATAAATAGAAGAATCACTTCTATTATATTGTTTTAATCACTTAATTTAATTTAAGGAAAAATGTTTTGAACACATAAAATAAATAGTAATATTTGTTTGCGTCATAGAAAGCGTAAAATAATGAATAGAGGTTTTTCAAAGGTTTTATTCCTAATATTGATAAGATTAACTTTTCTTTGTGGTATATTTGAAGAGAAACCACTACATGTAAATATTATATTTATTAGAATTACAAATATCTCATTTATTTAATACATTACAGTCTATCAAAGTCCTCAACAGAACATGGATCTCCCCCATAGATCGTCTCAGTGCTATTTCCTCCATAGACCACAGTTGACACGCTAGCACCGTCAGATTTTTATTTAGTTATTTATTCTTTATTGCATTCCTTAAAACAATAGACTACAAAGGGCGGACTTAATGCCTTGAGGCATTCTCTACCAGTCAACCCATGGAGTGGTGAGAATTTGACATGGGTGTGGCAATACAGAATAAAAGAACGCTACACAAAATGATAATTAACTACATAATATATACTTTTTACTAATCTGGCTATCCGAGTACGGAACCAGAGTATGAAACCTATCCAATTGCAGAGACGTGTAAGACAGGGTGACGTTATATCCCTGAAACTCTTCACCGCTGCATTGGAAGACGTTTTCAAGCTTCTGAACTGGAAAGGATACGGTATTAACATCAATGGCGAGTACATCACTCACCTTCGATTTGCCGACGATATAGTCCTTATGGCAGAATCGCTGGAGGACCTAAGCACTATGCTCAATGACCTCAACAGTGTCTTCCAACGGATAGGTCTTAAGATGAACATGGACAAATCAAAGATTATGTTTAATGTCCATGTCACACCTATGTCGGTAGTTGTTGGGAGCACTAAGCTCGAAGTTGTTGACGAGTATGTTTACCTGGGACAAATAGTCCGACTAGGTAAGTCCAACTTCGACTGAGAGGTCAATCGACGGATTCAATTTGGCTGGGCAGCGTTCGGGAAGCTACGACACATCTTCTCATCAGACGTACCTCAAAACCTTAAAACGAAATTGTACAACCCGTGCGTGTGGCCAGTGATGACTTACGGAATTGAGACGTGGTCCTTCACTCCTGGCCGTATGAGGAAGCTCAAGGTCGCTCAGCGAGCTACGGAGATGGCTATGCTCGGAGCTTCTCTGCGTGATAAACTTAGGAATGAGGATATCCGTAGTAGAACCAGAGTAACCGACATAGCCCAACGGATTAGTAAGCTGAAGTGGCAGTGGGACGGCCATATAGCTCGAAGAACCGACAACCGAAAAGAAGAAAGGTTCTTGAGTGGCAGCCTAGTACCGGTAGGCGAAGTGTAGGGCGACCCCCCACGACATGGAGTGACTACCTGGTAAGACATGCAGGAAGTCGATGGATGCAGGTGGCTCAGGACCGTGCTTTATGGCATTCCTTGGGGGAGGCCTATGTTCAGCAGTGGACTTATAAAAGGCTGTAATGATGATGATGATGATTATGATATGCGTCTGGTTAGCAATACATATTAAATGGATGAATCATGTAAAATGCGTTGTCTTCAATAGATGATTACGTACCATTTTTTTTAAAGCCTACTTACTTTATTCTTTCGAATTGTTATCAGAATTCAATGCTAGTGTCCATCTCCAGTTTCATTTAACCAATAACTAACAAGAAATCAGTTAACATAATGCATTACCACGCATTTTGAATTTTGCGTATATATATATATATATATATATATATATATATATATATATATATATATACAGCCTTTTTCATTATAAGTCAATCACAATCGAAATATTGTATGTTAGTTGGTTAGTGACTCGGGCAACTTATAAGCTACTTTTATACGATCACGAAACTTTAAAAAAGGAATGTTATATATCTTCCTATTCTTTAAGAAGTAAATTTTTACAGTGTTCAATAACGATAATATTTATAATGTAACGATATATTTTTAACCGTTGTGTAATAATTCAAAACTACGCCAACTGTTTACGATGTATCTTTTTAAAACAATATATTTTGCCTTCAGTTGTATCAGAAACTATTTGTTTGTATAATTATATTTATAAAATGCTTAAAAAATTGTTTAACTTTCTTTGTTTTTAAGTGCATAAAAATTGTCATAAAATGCTCAACAAAATGGTCTAACTTTCGTTGTTTTAAGTACGAAAGTCTAAATAATTTATAATTTAAATAGTGAACACATTTTGCCGTGTACTGTCTGTGTGAGAATATCCACCATCCCATATCGTTCGTGGTCGTAAGAGGCAACAGAGGGATACTGAGACAGGAGATGGATATCAGCTCCTTTCTAATAATAACTAGAATATAAAAATGTGCGGCTGCCAATCCGCTTTGCCAAGCCTGACAACTATGGAAAATGTCTTCCTTATCAGTCAATATATAGGGAAGCCTATGTTCAGCAGTGAACTATGATAAGCTTTAATGTATGAGACCACATTTTACAGATTTATTTTTATTTTATGAAAAAAAAAATTAAAAAAATATCGATCAGTTCATTTAGTTCAAGCACTCACACCCGTCTCGGCCAGTTCCCGCCGTGACATCTTTAAGGTTGGATGTAAGTTTGTACAGAAATATTGCCCCACTTTAGTACTAATTCGCTTGACCGCGAATCGCTAGGCAGGTGAAGCTGTAAAAGGCTAACGCACTAACATCACAGAACAAAGACTAATTCGCTCGACTTGCAGTGAGCGAGGTAACATTTTCACGCCTCGCCGTACTACAAGGCGGTCTTAAGGTT